TAAAATTCCAGCCCTGTGCAACACCGAGTAGCTCCATGAGCAGTCCTCTGACCGTCCCGGAGACAGGACATCTGTGACTAAGACTTCCCAACAGTGACCTGAAAGCTATCCTTGAGACTTCAAAATTAAATTCTGCTAAAAATGCATTTGCCAGCCTTCTCTCATGTTGTAAATACAGGCTGATTTGAACAAGTGTTATCAAAGGAAATCACAACTTAAGAAAATACCCTCCATATGGCAAGGTCAGAGAATTCAAGGATGCACTCCACCCAAATACTAAGCCATACAACCACATAAATACCCAACAAGGGACACATTTTAAAAACATACCATTACCCAAGCAACTTATGTTTCCTATGTGCTTCTCCAGTTAGAAATTGGCACTGTTTTAATCAATTGCTAAATTTTTTCTACTGCTTTTATAACAACCTTTTACTCCAGGTTACATTTAAAAATTCTGTGCTTATTGTTTAATTATTTTGTTATTACATTTAACAAAACCTCTCTCTCCCTATTTTTGATTTCTGAATGCATTTATATTCCTTCCCACAATCCTCTCTTTCAGTAACATCCTTTTACTGTATCTAAGATCTTCAGGAGATTTTGGGATCACTTTGCTCTAACGCTCAAAAATTTCTCATTTAATAACAATTAAGCAATACCAATTTTTTAAATAATACCTTGGGTCCAAAGATCACGGGGCATCCCACTGCCTCTGCAAGCAGAATTCTTCATCAACAACTAAAGAGCAGGTACCTCTGAAGGAGAGCACAGCAACTGCCTAACGACGCACAATCCCACGGTACAAATCACAGGACACGAGCATTTACTCCACACAAGGGAAACCACAGGGGAAATTCGGAGGGGAAGAACATCATCAGCCAGAACGAGACAGACAGTCGTTGGGATTAGCTGTGGTGGTTATTCAGGATGCCACCTGAAGGAGAGGTCAGGCTGACGTATTTTCCACACTCCACAGGGGTTCTCAACCTTTCCTTCACCACAGACCCCCTTTAAATACCTTTTGTGGCCACCGACCACCGAGACTTAATTCAAGATTTAAAGCACTAGACTACATCAAATATTTATTTCAATTTCCTTTTTTTTTTTCAATTTCAAATTAATTTGGGGGGGGAAAGTGTGTGTGGGGGGGGGGGGGGGGGCGCTGTGGGAAAAGGATGCACAGTGCTTGACATGGGCCAGACCAAATATTTCTGGGCTGGATGTTCCCCAGCCCTGCTTAAAGCCTTCATGGACCCCCTGCGATGACACTGCAGCCACTCGGGGGGTCCACAGACCACAGGTTGAAAACCACTGCAAGTCTAAGCTCCATCTGGCCACAGAATTGCCAAGTTGGTTGAACCACTTCTGCACCAAATCATGTGAGATCTGTTCTCCTTTCCCAGCCCTTGCTCTTGCCTCAAGGTTAGTCAAACGAACCTGTCAGCTGGGAAGTTGCAACTGCCAGGTTCACTTCTCACCAGATCACACTGACTTGTTTGACTTTCCAATGAAACCAAGAAGGACCACTCCCCTGTTCCCACACAAGTGACCATTTAGAGATGCCAGCTAATTAACAGACCGGTGAGCTGCTGAAGTTTCCTCAGGAGCCGTCGTACAGAAGAGGGAATTCAAACACCCACTTCCCAGTTGTCCCTCTTCTGAGCCTCCTGCTTCTGCACAGGACACTGCCTGGAAATGGCAGCCGGCCACACGAGGCAGTACAGGCGTGACCTCAAGCAGCAGTTTGTGAGGCACCGCCGATGGCAAGGTACACACTGTACACGAGAGAATGAATCTGCAGTCGAC